TTATAGTGAAAAATACGACGCAAACAGATAAACTGTTCTTACCGGGAGTAAGGTAGTTAGGATCGATGGGCTTGGTGGAATTGCTGCACTGCTCTAACTCTTGGTAATTAGTAAGATGCATCCAAAGTGCTGACTTGCCCATCTTGTGTTGCAAACCATGCGACCACAACCGTTCCAAAAGGTCGCATAGTGAAGCTATCATAGTACTCTCTTCGACCCCAGTTATAGATACCTCACAACCCAAACCTAGATCAGATTCTTCAGTACCCATCTTTTCCACAAGCATCCTCTTCGTTTTACTTTTGCATTCCTATTGAAAAAATTGTAGAATAATGAATATAGGACGTTTACATATTTTATCAATTTGAGAAAATTGAATTAATTTAAAGAATATTTTTAACATAAGTACCAAAATATTAGCCTGAATGTGTGAATTCCATTCATAAATATGATAACAGATGCTAGTAGTAAAATTTTATAACACATTTCCCGAATCAGGTAGAGGATCCAGAAACTTTGTATGGCAGTCGCGATTAAGACCACTCAACAAACACAGCAATGAGTAGAAATAATATTTAAAAGCTGTATCTATACCTTCAGAAGCTTCTCTACAAAGGCTCTGTTGTTCTGAGCAATAGCTGCTGGCGTCACTTCTGTAGACAGCCTTCTACTGATGTCCCCTAGCAACAACTCCGGCGGACAATCCTTCACTTGCCATTTCGCATTCTTTATACGTTTCAAACTGTTGGTCCTGAAAAGTAAAACATGTATCTATTATCTAGAATAAAGTCCTAATTAGTATTGCATATTATGAAGGCTAGCATAGCAAAAAGCAGTTGAAATGTGTATCGAAAATGCAAAATATTAGTAGGCGTGCGGGTTGCAAACACGATGTACGGAGTTTCATTTCATTACATGCAAGATGCACGAGTTTGGTTTTATCAATAGCTAAACAGAGTCAAATAAATTATTCACCTATGAAAGGCAAATGTGGAAAGAGAGGCATAGAAAGCATTTAAGTTAAGACTACACAAAACTCGCGCACACTATTACCACTTTTTCATTACATGCCATTCAACTACAAAAAGGATCAGGATTGCAAACATTTAAAAATACGCAGTATTACACATAAATAACTTTATTTTATATCTTATTCTTATTTACATAGAGTCTACATTTAAACAAACAATATATTGCATTATGGAGTTACCTTATTATGAGAAGATCTGTCAATATTATTAACAATGATTAAACTTTATAATTGCGTAAATAAAAATTAATTATGCCATAACAATGAAACAAAATATAAATGAATAAATAGAATTGGACAAAACATGGTTTGAGTATCACAATATAAACATATAAAATCACATAAAATTATTACATGAACGTATTTTATACTGCATGCAATACGAGTATAAACAAAATCATGCACTTCCAGTACTAAACACATTGACTATCACAACATTCAGAAATAATATTATGAAGTTAAATTTTTAAAGGCTTCGACAATCTATATTATGTTGTACTGTAGCTTGTAACTTTAAAATAGTATCCTACAATACAATTTAAATGTCACAGCCTTTAAAAACCTAACATTATTATGAAATGTTCAATAATTCGGATTCTTTACAGACATGACAAAAACAATAATAATTAATATTTAAAAATTAATAAGTACGATTGATTATGTATATTAATATGTATTTATTATTACTAAGCTATTAACGCGAAGCGAGATTCTAGTAAACAATAGTCTTTTTATATTACCCAGCAATAAAATAAGGTAAGTTACGAGAGCAAAGTTTTCAATGCAAATGGCAAGGTCGATTACCAATAATAAATTACATGAGCTATATTCTTACGTAATATTTTACATAATGATGTGATAAAATCATTGTTAATTAATCAATATTAAGAGATATAGTGAAAATTTAAAGATTTGTATGTTGGATTGTGGCTAGAAACTCGCTTCACATAAAACATATTTATTTACTTGAAACTTGGAAGTCTTTTTTTAGCAAGAGCTTTACAAGAAGTATTTAGTATCAGCTGTTTTGATATAAATTTCTTGAAATGTTTTCAAAGTCTTTTCTCTTAGATGAATCTCATAGTGGAAATGATATTATAAAAAACGACAATTTCACTTGATTTAAACAATACGGACCTCACACAGTAGGCAAGATCTAATAAAATATAAAATATTTTAAGCAACTGGTTTAAGTAGAAACCCTGCTTCTGCTGCATCTTTGTATGCAGGGTTAAAAAAAGTTATTTTCAAACTAAACTATTTGTATATGAGATGAAAAGTATATTTTTATTACTTGTATTTTTACTGGGTAAAATATTTTAAAACAATGGCCATCACCAACAACATTAAAAGCACTGTGAACTCTTGTATGAGCATTTGTATCACAGGTTTTCAAAAATGTTCTGTCTTCAGGAAATATGTTAAATTGAGATTCGTTCACTTACCAAATTGTATTTGGAGTACTTTTTTGCAATAATATAAAAGCTATTATTATTATATTAAAGCAATATAATAATTACATTAGACGCACTACACGGTAGTGTTAATAGTCTGCTGAAGAATAACATACATTTTACAAGGCTTGTACAGTCGCATGCTGCCATATGAAGCAAGTTTATTTGTCAATGACGCAAACTGTCACATATTGAAACATTTAAAAATAAAACATGATCAAAATAGTCCGTTTATACACCGAGTTAACAGATCTTTGCAACAATAGTTTCAAGTAGAAATGAAGTCAGAGAGTTTCTAATTATTATTATTAGACAATTCTGTTTTTGGAATACATTTTTATAACGAGCTACTTTAATAATTCTGTTTGCTTTAAAATTGAACTGTTACCTCGGTGCAAGACGTGTACGGGGCAACATGCAAGCCTGAACAGCAATCCAACCTGGATTGGTGTTGAGGTTGAATCCAACCTGGACTATCCAGATTGTAAATATACGGCGCACGTACGACAATCTACGATATCATATCACGAAAGCTGCACTCGTTAGTCGAAGGAAGCGAGGTCAGGGAGTGGAGGCATGGCGCATGGAGCCAGTAGCGGAGTCACGTGTCACGGGCGCACCTGGTGTCGGGCGCGGGCGGGCGCGTGAGAGCGTGCGCGTCCAGGCGCGCGGGGAAGGCGCGGTAGTACGCGGCGCGGTGCGGCAGGCGCTCGGCCGGCGCGCCCACCTCCAGCTCGGCGGCCGCGCCCGCGCCGCCCGCGCCGCCCGCCCACACGCAGTACCCGCGCGTGCCCAGCCCGCCCTCGCCTATGCGCCGTCTGCAACACACGCTCGCGTACTACACACTGTCGCCTGCCAGCTCGCTCGCTCTCAACTCATCCCTCATACACCAGTTACTGTCGAGACTCTACATGATATTATTACTCACATTAAACAGTCGATCTAGTCCTTACTCAAGACGTTAACAAGCATAATTCGACACGATTATGAACCCTATTAATATATTATAAAGTTACGCCTTTATCTCATAAGGCGGGACAGAAATTAGAACCACACACTATGATCCTTGCATACATCATTAGTTACCATCACATTCATGCATCGAGACATATAATCACACGAAATAAACCCCTTTTAAATGCATCTACAATGTTATGGTGGTTAGAGACTAATGTTGTTAATTGCATCAAACAATCTGCTTCATGATGTTAGTATGCAGTGGCATCTGCCCAATTGGTGCACTTAATTGTCATTAATTACCCAACATTCAATGTTCCAGATCCCATGCCAAATCCAGTCTACATGCTGCATTTTGAATACCATAGTAACAGAACTTATCATTTTACAAAGTCTTGTTCGTTACTGTGATTCTTTAAATACTGAATGATCATACCTGACAGTCTTGATCCGGTGTTCGAAGACTTGTAGGTTGGCATCATATTCTCCCCAGTTGCCCATAATCTTGTTATCGATCAGCGTAGCGAACATTTGTGTCTCGAGGAATCGCGAGAGGAAAGGCCTGTGACGCTGCGGTTGGTCCGAGAGGAACGATGCTTTATCAAAGTTGACCATTGATTCACGGGATGACAGCCAAGATTCACGATCCTAAATAAAACAGTGTTTCGATTGAGTTTCAAAAAGCTTTAGCCTAACATTTTTATCTTTAGACAATTACCTGAGATACCAAATAGTCAATTGCTAAAAGTTACTCACCTGATCAGGCATAATAACAAAATTCTCGTACATGAGAAATATGTGCACAAATCTATTAAGGAATGTTTCTCTGATAGCAACATTGAACCTTATGTCTTCATTATATTGTTCCTCATCATTAAGAATTTTCTTCTTTGTCGTTGGCATTACTGTATCCGCATCCACGTCATCGATGTTAACACCTGCAGATAAAAAAATGTGAACAAGTTGCAATACAAGGATGTTACCTAATCAGAATTCATTTAATACAGAACATAGCATGTCTACATTTTCTATATGTAATAACATGCGCATGTACAAGGTTTTTTCAATTAAGATTAACTGCAGCAAATTGGTCATAAAAATTGATGATATCAGTAAAATATTGAACTAAACAAGATGATGTATGCTCCAGTTTGGAATGTATAGTAAAGAAAGAAAGATCACTATATGCAATTAGTAGAATGTCTTTAATGAAATGTTCATTCACTATTTCATAATTCAACTATTCAATCTTGCATTTTTCTTAAATATAAGTTAAGCGTGTCTTACCACTGCGTTTGACGATGTCTACAATTCGTTGCAGAGCATCCATTCGGAGTGGCGCACGACGCGTTGGCGAAGCAGGAGGCGATGCATTGAGCGGCCTGCTTTCTTCCCATTCTAGTACATCGTGGAATGAGTGTTTCCGACGTAGTCCACCTGATAAAAACATTGAATATTTGCTTGTGAATGTAAAGTACTACTCTGATCATTGTAATCTATATATATATATATATATATATTAGCGGACCCGACAGACGTTGTCCTGCATATAATATAATAATAGGTATAGAATAGATATATAACCTAAATACCGACTACAGCGCCATCTGCCGGGCTGAGTTGTGAATCTAAACCATCCAGGGTGCCATTCAAACGCATACAGAAAAATTCATTTAAATCCGTCAAGCCGTTTAGGAGGAGTTCAATGACATACACACGTACAGCAGAATTATATATCCTTACTAATTATTATAAATCGGAAAGTGGGTTTGTTTGTTTGTTCCGCTTTCACGCCGTAACTACTAAACCGATTGCTTTGAATTTTTGCAGACGTAAAGTTTTAAATAATAGGATACTTTTATTCCGGAAAAATTTGATATTATCGAGGGAAAATGAAATTATTGGTATAGATGGCGCTGTGGGTATTGGTTTAAGTCACATAGGCTACTTTTTATCCTTTCGTGACGCGAGCAAAGCCGCGGGTAAAAGCTAGTATAAATATAAAAATGAATTGCTGTTCGTTAGTTTCACTAAAACTCGAGAACGGCTGAACTGATTTGGCTAATTTTGGTCTTGAAATGTTCGTGAAAGTCCAGGGAAGTTTGCAGAGTCATCTAGTAATAAATAAATATAGACCTCTTATATGATTAATATAGACCTCAAATTGTTTTTAAAATGGATGGTTAGTATTGATATTTGGACCTGCAATTGGCCCTGAAACCAGCAATATATCATTAGAATACAGGGTCGTATGAGGCCATCCACCATCACCACTATTGGGTGTTCTAGACCTTATAATGATGATTATGCAATTTTGCAAGTAATAAATAAATGGCTAAGATAGAATAACGATGTACTTAAACATTCGCTGCGCGCTAATGAATGCTTTACACATTGGGAATGGCTAAATAAAATATGTAGCAAGTAGAAGACCAGATCACCGAGCGTGTCGAAGTTTTTACCTACCTCTCGATTATTTAGATTTAATAATGATCTTTTAGTAAAAAAACGAAACACATAAATTGTAGTCAACTACATCGATAATATCGGATTATGATATGATAAACGTGAGATAATGACTAAGCCACGAATTGTGTTGCCATGTGCACGCTACATCGTCGCTTGAGAATAATCTTGTTAGAACAAGTGTACCTACCTACGTACGGTGTAGATTGCGTGACTTACGTTTAAAAACTTACCGATCGATAAAATGGTGTATACTGTATTCGAACCGGTTTCTGAACAAATATTATATTTGTATGAAGATACTGGAACAGCTTAATTTATTCATAAAACTAACCATATAGGTAACAGACGCCTACTACAATCTTTTTGAAGGCCAATGAGGGAGTTATTCAACTAATAAAGTAGTATAGGTAAATATCTTACCTGATGGCAAAGTACAACTGCTGCTCATACTGTCGCCCATATGTTTGTATGAAGTTCCATTTATAGGCACACCAAGCTTCGTAGGTTCAGTTTCAGGTCTTTGAATCTGTAAAAAAGCAATTTATCAAATACATGATTAAGCACTTAATATTATCTTAATCTGAATTAAATTATCAGATGCACTATATTAAATAATCCATTTAAACAAGATTTGATAATTTGTTATCTGTATAAATGAATTAGTAATTATTTTGCAGGTGCTTGGAAAGGGAGATGAATGAAGTTAATTACATTTTTGAAATATTTGTTACATAATGTGTTTACCTGATGTTTATCTAAAACATGATTGAGTTCTTCAATAAACGGTGTCCTATGCGGGAATATAGGCAATTCTTCCGGTAATTGTATGTCAGGTTTATCAATATCAACTAAACAAAGAGCTGCCTCAGAGCCGAGCGCGATACTTCGGGGACCATTTGGTCCCATATTCATTGCCCCACTTTCCGCATGGAGACCTGTTTGTTAGAAGTTAGACACATGAAATAATGAACACACAATATTATACATATTATGCAAATGAACAAGTGAATTTGAACTATTCTCTACGCCTAGATGAACATACATAAAAACAACAAGAAACATTATTTACTAAGTAACATTTTATTCATCACATTACATAATCTTATAAAGTGCTCATTAACTCTTAGCAAAGTAGATAAGTAGCGGTGAATTAGCAGTGTGGCCTATTGACCTCTAATAAAGTGCATTGTACTATACCCATGACGAATGGCACTGGCGCGTCGAGGAAGTGGTAGAGTGGGGCCGGCAGTATTGGCACATACACGTGCGCCCATGTAAACGGCAATAGCAGAGATACTATGCATTCAGCTACCAACATTAGTTTATTGTAATCTAAAAACAAACATTGTTATTATTATTAGTCAAATAATTATACAGAGTTGTTAAATAACATACTGTTATAACACTTACCACTTGATCTGAGTAAAACTTGGTGTTCTAATAGAACACAAGTAAAAAGTTGTACAACACATTCAACTCCTAATGTAGAAAACATAACTCGTAGTGGATAATCCAAAAGAGGTAACTCTTCAGGGAGATTTGGCATTCTTATCACCTGAAATAGATAGAGTAATTTACCATAACAATATAAAAGCTTTGGAATTTATCATTTCTTATTTGAAAATAAAGACTTAAGAATTAAGTCTTTAGACCTATTTTACAAGCAAGGCTAATTAATTGACTTCTTATAAGCTAATATATGTATATAAGAATTATAATGTATACTTACAACAGGAATTGGATCCAAATGAGGTTCAGAGGGAGGCACATATAGTCGTAAAGCTTGACCAGGAAGTGGCACAGGTACTTCATATAATAAATTATAAACATAAGACTCAGGACTGAGGCCTGGGCCAGGCTGCCTTGGGAGAGATCTACAAAAGAAAATTAGGTAGTAATTACATATTTATTTATAAGCTACTGGTTTGTGAAAAGCTACTATAGTTACTAAGTAGTAAATATTGTAGACTAAAACTAATTGAGAAGCTTTTTGGACTATAAATTAATTGGTCTCAAGATTTAATTACAAGAAAATGATATTAGTGAATTTAAGAAATTTTCAAAAGTTGTGTATTTTATATAAAAAATGGATAGGAAACAAATAAGTAAATGAACAATATAAGAATAAAAAAGATGCAATAAGATAAAATTATCAACATAATGAAGTCATTTGCATTAAAGTTTTGGGTATAAAATTGAGTGGGTACAATTTATTTAATGAGATAACTTGTTTACATATTTGCGAGACAATCACCTGAATAAATTTTCTAAAAACAACTGTGCTACTCTCACATATGGATATTGACATATAAGTGCTATACTTTTGGCGACATATAGTTTGTCTTTGGCAATATCATAATATGTCAGTGCGGCACCACTATGAGGTGTGAGTTTGAAAGATCTTGGAAGTGACCGGGAGCTTTCCTTGCCTGAAGCTTTTCTGTGGCCAGGAGGAGTCTGGCCACTAGATAATTCTGTGATATACATTGCCTAAAAAAAATGAACAGAGGTTATTTATTTATTCATTTATTTAAATGTAAAATTATTGTTTTTACTATGATTAAATACAATTTACCTGTAATGTATGCATGGCACTGCAGATGTTTCTGTTCCTAACTTCTTCATAAAAAATAAGACTGAATCCATAGTATCGAGATGCATTCTCTCTGGTTACTACAAAGCTGTGAAACTTGGGCTCTAAAGAATGTTTTTGTGTTCTAAATTGAAGGCCAGCTGGTAGACAAAGCTGCAAGTATACACATTCACCAGTTTTACTTCACAATTTTATTAATAGGTAAATTAAAAGAATAAATGAAAATGTAATGGCACATGGATATTTGTTATGACTTTGAAATAATATCTCTTTGATTAATTTGATATTGCATTCAGAAGAACAAAGACGTCATGAGCAATATACTTCAATTTATTACCATACAAACTGCACTACACTCACCATACAAACTGCATGTTCATCAAATGGATTACTTGTTATGTTCTCAGGGTAGTGGGCTAGGATTTTGCCTTTATAGGAACGATCCAAAGGAGATACATGTAAATTATCACCTAAAATGAAGGCAAAATTTTATTGTCGTTTCTTTTATATCAAAAGCTAATAGAACAGTTTTTTATTTAATGCTTACCGCAAAGTCTATCAGGCTCCAATCCAGAGTCAAAGTCGAGGCCGCAAATCGCAAAATAATCGGCAAAACGACATCCAACAGATAAATCAGAGACAGACATATTTCTATCGACCCGTTATTTACTATTAGAGACACTTTCTCTTACAGACTGCGCGAAGGTTTTGTCTCAGCATTGTACACTAGCACTGGACTCTCATTAACAATCGATCAGTATTGTTAGCTCACATGTTTTTATTTGACATCTAATTTTCAGTGATAATGAAACAAATCAATTTGTAAACGAAAAAAATATTTTATTCACGCCATCACATCACTCAACAACACATTCAATTCATCAGACAGCTGCCAAATTGCGTAAACCTCCCCCGCAACCTCGGTCTTCGTCCCTATTATACAGATACTAAAGATTTTCTGTCATTGTCTATGCTACATAATTAAAGCGTAAAACAAGATAATTTGAAAGTAATGCAAGAAGTTGACTATCGGACAGATGTAATTATTTTGTAATCCATTACAACTGTTTTTCTCAATCAGACAATAAATCTTGAAAGACCTGGTACTGAAATTAGAAGAAAATATAGGTCGATCGATGATTCAACGATTATCTGTCAGTTAAATAATTGAATGAATGAAATTGTTTCTTTGTTTGTCAAAAGCGGTGGTGTGAGCGGGGCGTGTGTTTGTAGTGTTTAAAATAAAACGTTATTTATTGTGTAGTTTTTTATAATATCATAATATATGTATTTAGTGTCCTCAGTTTCCTTGCCAAACTAATACAATTAAACAATTGTTTATATTGGCGGTATTGGATTTTTCACAGTAATTCACAAGATTCAAGGTAAGTTACAATTTTTAAATCATCAGAATTAGTTATTTTAGCAAACTTATCGCTCAATAATACGGCAAGAGGCTTCTTAGAATTAAACTGTTTGTTGTTACGGGGATGCGACAAGTGATAACCACGACTGTATTATTTCAACTTGTCCTAACCACTAAAGGAAAGAAATTAGATTTGTATTTTTCTTTTTCTGGGTGTGTTTTACTCGCGAAAGATTATGTCCCTGTTATTATTATCCAATAGTAAATTGGGTGGTCAAGTTTTATTTTTAAGTTGTCTTAACAATTTGTAAAGCTCATATATTTTGTAATATTGAATGCTCATTTTTTTATAATATTGAATATCGATTTATAAATAAAATTTGTCATAAAGAACCATTTGATATCAATATAAATGTATGTATGTTTCATAACAACAAAACAATGTGTATGCTAAGGACACATGACCTCAATCCAATGTCAAATATAGTAGCTTCTCTGCCCCTGTATTGTAGGTAACCAAACAAGAAATGTTTAACATAGTGAATTTTGTTTCAGAATGTTAAGAGGAAGAGTAAAACATTTACTACACTGCACATTTTTCATATTATTTATATTCAATTTTCTTGTATTTGCTGGAGCTATACGTTTAGATGACAAAGAGAAGGAAAGTTTTGATCCTCTGGAGAGATATGGAGTGCATGGAGCAATCATTTTATACCTATTGAGACTGTTTACCCTCTTAACAATACCTCAAGTCCTGTGCAATTTTGCAGGATTGACATTATTCAATGCTTTTCCTGGAAATGTCAAACTTAAAGGTTCTCCATTGCTTGCACCTTTCATCTGTATCAGGATTGTGACTCGAGGAGACTTTCCAAAATTAGTAAGAGATAATGTAACTAGAAATATGAACACATGCATTGATGTGGGGATGGAAAATTTCATGATTGAAGTTGTGACTGACAAAGCAATTAATTTACCGAAGCACAGAAGAGTTAGAGAAGTGGTTGTGCCAGCCGAATATAAGACTAAATCAGGTGCTTTATTTAAATCAAGAGCATTGCAGTATTGTTTGGAAGACAATGTTAATATACTCGCTGAAAATGATTGGATTGTGCATTTAGATGAAGAAACACTGTTGACTGATAATTGTGTGAGGGGTATACTTAACTTTGTGCTGGATGGCCAACATCAGTTTGGTCAAGGACTGATCACATATGCTAATGAACACATTGTAAACTGGCTGACTACTCTAGCTGACAGTTTCCGCGTTGCTGATGATATGGGAAAGCTAAGGCTACAATTCTACTTGTTCCACAAGCCACTCTTCAGTTGGAAAGGTTCATATGTTGTAACACAAGTAAGTAGTACCACATGATACTATTAATAGACATGAATTCCTGTTATGAATCTCATGTAAAAGAGGCTGTACACATTGGTAATTTCCCCAACATTCTGTATTCATATATGGTATTTATTTATTTACAGGTAAGCGCTGAAAAGAATGTGTCTTTTGACAATGGACTTGATGGATCAGTAGCAGAAGACTGTTATTTTGCTATGAAAGCCTATAAAGAAGGCTATACTTTTAACTTTATTGAAGGAGAGATGTGGGAAAAGTCACCATTTTCACTGTGGGATTTCATGCAACAAAGAAAGAGATGGATTCAAGGAATACTTTTAGTAGTACATTCTAAAGAAATTCCTCTGTTACATAAAATCTTTCTGGCAGTATCCTGTTACTCTTGGGTGACCTTGCCTCTATCAACCAGCAATGTTTTCTTAGCAGCTGTGTGTCCTATACCTTGTCCACAAGTTTTGGACATAATATGCGGGTTTATAGGTGCTGTGAATATTTATATGTATATCTTTGGTGTGCTTAAATCATTCCCATTACATAGATTTGGTCCAGTAAGGTTCTTTTTGCTTATTGGTGGTGCATTGGCTACCATCCCATTCAATATTATTATTGAAAATGTTGCTGTGATTTGGGGAGTGTTAGGTAAAAAGCACAAATTTTATATAGTTAACAAGGAAATTAAGATACCAGTGACTGTATGATTTCTCATGAATACATTTCATATCTTTTGAAGGGTTTACTGATTTTACAATAGTAAGTGCACAGTACACTAAAGGACTAATTTTGCACTTACTCTGATGTATGAATCATTCAAACACACTGAAACATTTCATGATTGTTTTCACAAAGATAAGATAACATGGTATCTACCAACATGTTAGTTAGTGTGTATGTATGTTACCAAAGTATCTAAATTTAATATTTTTCTGTTTGTAAATTGAAACTTCACTAAATACTAAGCACAATATTGATATTTAAATGTAAACTAATAATAATAGCTTTGCTTTTATACCTTTCTACAGATAATTTATTTTTGGAGACCTTGTTCTTTCATAATAAACAGTTATATTTCTTTTTACTCAAATATTGTAAAGGTTTACAGTAAGCCACATTGTTATTTAGTGTCATTTTAGTTAGTATTTCGACAATATCAAATGCAGAATTTGTTGTGTTGCTGTACTTACAAATCACTATGGTTTTGATTAAAAAATATTGAATTGCATTATCTTGCAAGTACATACAATTTAATGAGAGGTTTGTGTAAATTGTATGTCGTATCACTGCTTCGGATTGTTGGCGACACTTGCTTATAGTTTTATAATTATATTCTCGATAGAGTTTTAAGACTCAGATAATAATTTATTGATTATTTGTAGGTAATGTTTTATGTGTCAATTGGTTGAAGCAATCGGTTTTTACTCATGCTGTTCTAATTTTATCATCGACATTATCTATTATGTACTAAGATGTACATTATACATTTATAAATTTGAGCTCAACAAGTAGAACGTGTGCAGGTATGAAGATGCACACATGTTGTACATTATTTTTGGCACCTGACTAAATGTATCAAGCTAAAAGAACATATTGTTGAAGTTAGTTTTCCCAGTTGAAAACTTATTCGAAAAAGTCATGATTAATGATAGATCGCAACAATTTCCACTAGGTGTACTTAACCAACATTGAAGTAGTTAAATAGATATAATTTATTTGTGTTAGAGCGAGTAATAATTGGGAACTGATGTATCAACAGCTTTTTGTTTTATATAATACTGTTATTTTTTAATTCGATGATGTGTGTGATTTAATATTTGTGAGATGCATGTTTTTGTTCTAAATTGTTAATAGTTATTTAATGATTGGATGTCTTGTATGAGAAACACATAGGGTTCAAGTTGATTGAAAAAGTACAATGTCTTAAAGTAAAATATATAGTAACATGTGGACACAAACATAGGTTATAAAACTTTATTATTACGGTAGTTAAATTCTGTTAAGTGTTGTTGAATGAGTTCAATTTTTTTACTTGAAGTAAGATGCACACAGTATTCTGTCCAATAAATTTTAAGTTTATCAGTAAATCAGATAACATGTTATTGCTTTAAAACTCTGCATCTGACTAGTCATGTAAATATTTATGAATAAATAGCTAGTTGTAATGTGTAGTAGTGTAGACGAATAAGTAATTACCAGTGTTAATTGGGGTCTCTATCTACTTAGTTCTTATAGATAAAAGTCAGGGGTCAACTCTGTTTAACCCATTGTGATGGTCTTAGTATTCAATTACGCAATTACCTTCGTTAATAGTATTAGTTCATGACAAAAGACATGTGCCCATTTATTGTCGTGATAATAATTGAGTCTCTTATTATTTTATCTACGTATGAAACAGCAGTATCGCATCATTGTTGTATGTTGCTGTTTCAAAGTACCTTCGACGTTTTTTGTAAATTAGTCACAAGTGAATACCATTGTAATTTTGATATTTTTGTATTTTGTTCTATTTGATTGAATAATGTTTTATAGTCATTGATTGACGAAGGATGTATGTTAACGAACTTAAAATCAAAATTTGATAATATAATGTACCTAAAACTCACTTTGTACATACAAAACACTTAGTTACGTAAAATAAATTTGAGCATGCAATGTTTTGTTTAATTCATACACCTATTACTTTTCAGTTGTCGATATTATCTAAAATATGTGGCGATCTACTATCAAATGAATCTATTATCAAATGAATGGCCAACAATTCAAGGCCATCGATTAATTGTATTGTTGCCATGATGAAGTGGTAAACTTGCCTGTAGCGAGTGAATTTATTTGTACTGACGTCTGAGACACGGATAACATTAATGTAAATAAAACAATGGTGGGATTTCCTTGATTAGTTTTGTCTCCACAAGTTATAAGTAACTAAAGTCTAAATAAAGATAGTAGCTGTTATAGACCTTGAACTGCACAAAAACCGCGCATCATTACGTCCTCAAGTTTTTTGTGTCAGCCAGTCAGTCAGTTTGCAATTAGTTTCAATTGTAGCACCAAACTAACTCCTACGAACATTAAACAGGATAAACTATTTCTCTTATTGTTATAACGTCACGCTAGATGCGTCGCGTCGTTGACACAATAGTCTAGTCCAGCTTGCTTTTTATAC